GAGGAAAACAGAGGGTGGGAGAATGGCAAAAAGTGTTTACAGGGCTAACTGTATTTTACTAAAAAATGCAGAAATTATTTGACTTCATGGGGAGTGAGGCAGAATAGGGAGGCCCAAAGCAAGTCCTAATATTTTAAAGGAGTTGCAGCCCTGCACAGGCATTAGATATTAGGGCACTGTTCTGTCTGGTGGTGTAGCCATCACAAGAACAAATCAACAGCAACCAAAAAAAAAAACAATAAATTTTAAAAATTTAATCAGTGTTTGTTTTTACTTCATTTCACTGCCTCATAGATCTGAAATGGTACAGCTAAACCTCCTAAGTGAATAGTCTTAGTTGTTCTCTAATGGGCATCTGGGTACAGAGTTTGAAATTCAGGGCCCTGCCATTACTGCCCCAGACCCTTCATATTTCAGGGGAGTGGCTCTTTCTGCATCTTTTATTCTTCTGGTTTACCCTAAAAGTCCTCCTGCTACATTCTGTCCTTTCATATGGCCTCAGTGGGAAGGAGGATGGGTCACTTGGCATATTAAACAAAATGTAGCATATTCTTTTTACAGTGGGCACCCAAGTAGATTGTTTCCTAACCTACTGAGTACTTATTTGATCTTAAAAAAAACAACCCCGTAATGAAGTATCATTGACATGCAATAAGCTGTACATGTTTAAGGTTTACATGTTTAAGGTATACAGTTGATAAGCTTTGACATAGGATACACCTGTGTGTGTATGTATGTATGTAAAAAAATATTATTTTTTAAATTAATTTTATTTATTTATTTTTGGCTGTGTTGGGTAATAGCCTTCCCTGGTGGTGCAGTGGTTAAGAATCCGCCTGCCAATACAGGGGACACGGGTTCGAGCCCTGGTCCAGGAAGATCCCACGTGCCGCGGAGCAAGTAAGCCCGTGTGCCACAACTACTGAGCCTGCGCTATAGAGCCCGCGAGCCACAACTACTGAGCCCATGTGCCACAAGTACTGAAGCCCACACGCCTAGAGCCCATGCTCCACAACAAGAGAAAAGATAGTGAACACACCCTTTACTCCCAAAAGTTTCTTCGTGCCTCTTCCCATCCTTTCCCATGCCCAAGTAGCCACTGATCTGCTTTCCATCACTGTGAATTAGTTTGCATTTTCTTGAGTTTTATATAAATGAGATCACACAGTATATTATAGTAATTGGGCTTTGAGCTAATAACCTTGACCACAGAGTTGCATCTAGTATTTGGAATCCATGAAACAAACCTCCCTGCATAACATCAGTGGTACTCAGAGTTTGATTCTCTAAAAAGGCAATATTGGAAGGGGAGAAAAAAACTTGAATATGGAACGGTGTTTGGAGTAAGATTATCAAATTCTGGGGATCAGCACGTTGCCCTCACCATCCTGCTCATTTTCTGGTTAGACAGTAAAACTTTGAAGCCTAGTCCAACCCTAGGTCCTTGCAATGACCAGTTGACTTTTCTCTGTTTAAGGATTTTGGCTTTTATCACCAAAAGCTGTGTCTGGGACTGGAAAACATGTGGAAGGGTTAATGTAACTCTCCCCAGCCACTAAAAAGTAGCCTTTGGAATACATATCCTAGTGTATGTCAAGAACATCCTCTCCACAGCTATAGCTTTGAAACCCAGAACTCTTATTAATGGTTCTCACTGCTTACTCTTCAGTGTTAACAGATTGATTCAGACTAATTCTTACAAATAGTCTTGTTAATTTTGGGCATAGCAAGGATACCCACCTAAATTTCAATTTAAAAGGAACTGTTTGGGATCAGGTACCCTAATGTAGATATTGTGTTCCTGCTTGACATTGTCTAGTGGAAGTAGAGTGAGTCTTGCACCTGAACTTACCTAAGTCAGAAAGTTCCCATGGATCTGTTCCCTTATTTCCGTGATTGACTTAGCCAAGAAATTTTAGTCACGATTATGTGAAACACAGATCACCCGATGGGGCTATTCCCAGCAAGATTGTACTAAACTAAAGTAACTTGTAATTTTTATGTACCTGTTCTATAAAGATCAATAACTGAGAATGTAAGATAAATAAGACAGGAACTTTTAAATGGCATCAAGACCTCATGAATGCAAAGTATGTGTCCATATTGTGTAGCCTGGGTACTAAATCGTTTTACAGGGATGAAAGCCAAAATCCAGAAAAGTTAAACATTCAAGATTATGCAACAAGGTATGCCTGATTTTTGTGAGATGTATTACTAGCAAATGAGAAAGTTGCCTGTGAGAACATTCCTCTGACAAAAATGGGGAAAAGCTGTCAATATTTCTCTCGTACTCGACAAAGACTGAAAAGTTCTTTAGGTCAGTGAAAAGCTGAATAAGGGGAAGGAGTCTTGAATTAAAAGGGAATATTTTGTTGGGTACAAGGATGAACTTGGTGGGGATGAGGGGCCTGCAGGAAGGATGTAAGGTAAACTACAGGGTGCTAGATGGGTGTATTCATCCCCAGGGCCATGAGCGTCAGTACTCTGTGGATTCCAACTTAAACACTAGCAGAGGCCACTGCCAACTGGAACTTAGCGTAGCTAGGGAGCAGTGCATAGCAACACGTTGTCCTGCCTTTAAGCTCTGGAACTTACAGTGTCTGTTATTTTGGGTGGGGAGGGGTAGTGTTCATCCACCACTGGCTACAACACACAGATCTACAAGAAATAATGGCCAGGTATGCTGTTTTTTGTTTCTGCTTTCATTGTTTTATTTTTAAGAAATCAAAATATAAGTAGAAGCCCAAGGAAGATTTTCAGCAGCAACTGAGCTTCCTGCAGTGTTGCAGAAGTCAGTCAGATGTTCCTGCCAAGCTTTGTAATTCATCAACTCGATATGACTGGTGAGAATGACACTTAACCTCAGTGTCTTCCTTACAAAAACCGTGAGAAACACATCAGATAAATCCCAAATGAGGGACATTCTAAAATGTACCCTCAAAGCCATCTAAGTCATCAAAAACAAGGGAAGTCTGAGAAACTGTCAGACCAGTGGTGGCTAGGGAGACATAATGACTAAATGTAATGTGATCATTTGGATGGGATGCTAGAGCAGAAAAAGAGTATGCGATAAAAACTAATGAAATCTGAATAAAGAATGGAATTTAGTTAATAATGATGTATTCATTTTGTTTCATTAGTTGTGACGAATGTTCCATAGTAATGTAAGGTATAATGTAAGATGTTAACAACTGGGGAAACTGGCTGTGGGTTATATAGGCACTCTGTTAGCAACTTTCCTGTAAATCTGAGACTATTCTGAATTTATTTTTTTAAAAAATCACTAAAATCTGCACAGGGCACTTAACCATATAAAGATGCTAAGCCTTGTTCATAATGAGAAATGGTAGAGATACTATTTCTCACCTATCAGGTTGGCCAAAATCCAAAAAGTTGACACTATAATCTGTTGAGACAGTGGGGAAACAGCCACGCTCAGAGATTTATCAGAATTTTTCCAATATCTAGCAAAGTTAGACACATATTTATCCTTTGGCCCAGAAATCCCATTTCTGTGGAGCCATCCTAAAGATATACAGGCAAAAATATGAACATACATAAATACGCACAAGCCTATCCACTACAGCGTTATGTAAAATAACTAAAAATCGGAAACAATTCCAATACCCACAAGTCAAAGGTAGTCGAAACAAAAACGTGTATCCAATTAAGCCTCTAGAATCCAGGGTCCAGATCAAAGTACCAATTTACAGGAAACACAGGAGACAAAATATGTTAACAGGTGCAGTCTGGAGCATCTAGGCAAAAACAAAATGCAGAACAAAAAATGCAATTTCTTCCACAATTAAATGGCAAGGGAATAAAATTTCTCTAGTTGTCTTAAATTTTTAAATGCTAGATATTTGATAAAAATTAGGTGCGATATTGTAGTTTTCTAGGATGTGCTTGTCTTTTAGAGATATATACTGTTTATACCTGAAATATGTCTAGGATTTGCTTCAAAATAATCTCAGGGTGGGGGTGTGGTTGGGAGTTTAGATGAGAAAGACTATGAATTGATTATTGTTGGAGCTACTACATGGGAATTTCATACCATTCTCCCTACTTTCACAAATGCTTAAAACATTCCGTAATAAAAAGATAAGAGCAGAATTGTTTAGGTCAGAAAATTAACATCTATGAGCCAGATTCAAACAGTGAGCTACCAATTTGTATGCATTGTCCTAATGTGTTTAATAGCATATGAATATACATGAGGGTAACAGATTGTAATGGTCCCTAGTTGAAATCCAGCCCTTCCTTTTTCACCATTTCTTACAGGAATTGATTTGCACAGGATTTTAGACTCTGCACACATTTAAAAGTCCACGCCCTTGCTTCAGCCAGCTTCCTCCTGGAAAGCAAAGCCAGCCAGCTGAGTGCTTATGAAGGCCCCACTGACTCATCAGCCTGGAAGGCAAGCCCTCCCTGTGTCAGCGGCCCCAGAGCAGGAGGGCAGGTGCTGGGGGAAAGAGGGCCAGCTGGTATGAGACATACGGTCTAGTAGAATAGCATGGGAGCAACCGGTACTGGAAAATAATAGCTGAGTCTGTTTTTTAATATTTATTAATCCAAAAATAGGTAAAATTCCACTTTCTACCCCAGGTTCTTAGACTCTGAAGGGAGGTAGCTGCCAGCCTTAAGTATCTGGTGTAATACCTAAGTGCTCATCTCTGTCTCTGGAGGAAGAAAGATGAGGAAGTGGGGCTCAAGCTAGGGAACCCCAATATCCGGTCCATGCCCTGCAGAGGACCTGCCAGGGAGACCTGACCCACAGCACTTGGCTCTTTTTGCCAGAAGAAATGGGGGCAACCACAAGTATGGGTCACTCTGGGGCAACTCCCTCTGTACAACTAGGCCCCCTCCCTCCTCACTGGTGCCGATGGCTCAGTTCCCCCAGTTCCCCCACAGCCAGCCCAGGAGAGGCATATCCAGGAAGACAGAGTCCTCAAAGCAAAACTGGCTTCCAGTTTCCGTCAGCTTCTAAGGAGAACCTGGAACTCGGGCCTCTTTTCCCTCTTCTTCGTGACCCAGATCCACTTCCAGAGGACCCAGAGGTAGGACCCTGCCGCCCACCAGGTGCCCACTGAGGCCATCGCACCTCCGCATCGGTCTGCACAGCCACCCTGGAAGCCTGGGCCAGTCACTGTCTGCAGCTGCATTACTGCATGCCGACTGGGTGCATGGGCCAGGACCCCTGGCCAGCACTGAGGCCTGCCACAGGAGGGGCTTGGGCCACAGGCTGCAGCTGCTGCTGGGACTGCCAGATGTGATGGAGCTCCTTGAACTGTTCTACCATGCGGTCTTTGAGATCTGGGTTTGAGATCTGTAGCCGGATGCTATCAGCCGACCAAGAAAGCTCCCCTGAGAACATCTCCAGCAGCAGCCGAGCTGCTACAGGCACCACCTGGGGGGCAAAGAGGAGAAAGGACAGGGAGAACCTTGGCAGGGCTGTCCAATCCAGTTGTGCATGAGCGCGTCCTCCAGGGGTCAGGTGGTGGGCTGCATCCACCAGGAAGACAGGGCACCAACTTCTACTTCATAGAGAGTCTGCTTATGTGTGGGCAGCACTGATCCTTGATTAACTCTGACCACTGAGTTCACACCACCCAGAGGGCCCTGTGCCTCCACCCTGGGGCAAGGGCCTAGCCCCAGGGTTCCCCAGTATTCAAACCAAAGCAGAGTTGGGGTGGGGGGTGGGGGTACACCTGCACAGTGATGAGCTTCTTCTCTCGGGGTTTGCAATCAGGCCACTCCTCCCCGAAGCAGAAGAAGATCTCAAACGGCGGTGGGGTGTTGGTCTGGCCCTTCTGGAACAGGATGAGCTCTGCATTGAGATTGAGACCCTTAATCAGAGGCTGGCACCATGCCCCTGGATGAAAGGAGACCAAGAGGAACATGACATGGGGCCCTCACCATTGAGAAAATGCTCCAGGCTGAAGAGCTTGGTCTTGACCTCCCGCTGGATGGGGTTGGGGTGTGAACCATGGCCTGAGGCGCAGGGCCCACTCCAGAACACCTTGCACTGGCACAGGCGGATGGCATACAGATCCTGGCCTTGTAGCTGGAGGATGAGCCCGCGGTCCAGGACATCCAGCAGCTGGTTGGTATAAAAGCGCTGCTTGTCGCTGGGGATGTCCTCGGGGCTGGGGAAGCGCACTTGTTCTAGGCTCACAGGGCCAAAGAGCTCCACCTGCTCCTGGGTGGCCTCCAGCTGGCTGTAGAAGAGCCGGCAGCCATGGGGGTTGCTGATGGTGAGGGCCCGGGGTGGCCTCCCCCGGTACTGGAACTTGATCTCCAGGTCGGTCACTGTAGGGCAGAGGGGCAGCCCCGCCCCGCCCGTGAGCCCCACGCCTCCCCATTCCGCAGCCCACTGACTTTCTCTGCCCTCTCTGCCCCATGGCCAGGCCATCTTCAGCTCTCCCACTTCCTTCCTCCACCCAAGCAGGGACTGGCGTGGGCGTTTTTGTTCTCGTCATCAGTCATCCTCCATGTTCCCAGCGCTGCTTCTCCCGGCCCCGCCCCGCCCCGCCCCGCCCCGCCCCGCCCCGGGGTCCTTACGAGGCAGCATGTGAGGGCTGATCAGCAGGTCGGGCAGGAGTTGTTCGCCTGTGGGGGGCAGGCTGGCAGCCAGGGTCCCAGGCTGCGGGCTCGGCAGGACCTCAGAAAGCAGCCCCCCAAAGTCAGCAGGGTTGCCAGGGGCAGGGCCCAGGACGCTGCGTTCTGCAGCAGGGGGACCCAGCACCACAGGTGGCTGGAGAGTGGGTGGCCACTTGACATCCTCTTTGGATAAAGAATAGGGTGCCATGGGGGGACCGGGCTGCACTGCTTCTATGGAAGGTGGCGGCGGACAAAGCTTCAATGCCACTTCCAGGAGCTGCCTCCCAGGCCCACCTACTCCCAGCCCTGGGCTGCCCCCCAGCCTCCCTTCAGCCCCCTCCCAGGTACCCATGGTACCTGCAGCTCCTCCTTATACTAAACCCCCAACCACACCGCCTCCCAGCCCCACCTGTGAGGCTCAGGCTTGGTAACATCCTCTGGAGCTGAAAGGAAGACACAGGCAAAGGAGGAGGGAGGAGGTCAGAGAGAGAGAAGGGAGGACAGGTTATTAAATTGATCTGATGCTAAAGAATGAGACCCACAAGGCAATTCCCTGGTCTTCCGCTTAGGCGAGGCCAGACCCTGCCTCCAGGCCCAGCTCGGCCATCCCAGGCACGTCAGTAGGCTCTCAGCGCCCCAGTTTCCGCCTTCTGCAGGTAGTAATACCTACTAAGCCCCAACTGCTGAGGGCAAGACCATGTGTGAGCATGCTTTATACCAACAAAGTCCCAGGGAGGTTCAAGGTGGTGACTTTGTTCCTGTCTCCAGAATCCCGAGAGAAGAAACTCAGAGAAGAGCTGCAGAAACAGCAGCAGGGCTCCAGAGGAATGGAACTGCTCCATCCTATAGCAGAGTGGGGGCAGCAGAGACGCCCTAGCAAGGCCACCGCATCAGCGCGGGCAGACGCTGTGAAGAGCGGCCCCCGAGCTCACCGCTTCCTCTTCCTCCTCCTCCTCCTCTCCTGTACCGAGAGTGTAATCCTCACTGGGCTGTGACTCTGCAGAATGAGGGAGAGAAAAGAAGGAGTTCAGTGGGGGAGGAGGAGGAAGGCCACCAGGGCTCCATGTGGCAGCTCCTGCTGTGGCTTCTCCCCCTGCCCAGAGCTGCCCAAACAGAGTGAGTGAAGGGCCGCACAGCCACCAGCAATCACTAGGGATGCCCCTGACCCCATGGCACTCTGCTCCCTGGGCCACCCGACCTACATTCACTGGAGCCAAGAGCCAAGAACCAGGATGGGTTGAGGAAGACAAACCTGGGGGCCTCGTCCATGCCAAGCCATTCCTGGCCTCACAAATGATCCACCCCTGGGAGCCCTGGATGTTATGACCTAGCAGCATGCCCCCAACCACTGCTCGTTGGAGGGGCCCCTGGCCCTTCCTGCCTAGCCTCCCAGGTGTCCCACACAGGGCCAGACAGGATACCTGCAGGAGTGGGGCCATTGGAGCAGACCTCATAGATCTTGTAGGGCTGAGGCGGCATGTCCCGGGGCCCATCATAGATGAGGCGAAAGTCACGGCTCTTGTTAAGGGCACAGCGCAGGTTGGCCTTCCACTTGGCCGGATCGGCCTCATCCACCCCCTCGGTGTACTTTCCTGTCTCCTTGGCCCAGGCCTAGGTCAGGAAGACAAGACAGGCGACCACAGAGAACCTCACCCCTCACAAAAGCCCCTCCTGGCCAGTGGGAGTCGCTGCTGTGCGGTGAAATCTTCAGCGACACACTGGTGGAGCCCAAGTGTCCGTTTGCAAGGTGGGAGATAGGATGCCAGTCCCTTGGGGCTCCAACAAGCTAAAGGAAATCTAGGTGCTTTGAAGGGCATTGTACTCACTGGTCCTAAGGTGGCAAATAGGTACAATATCTGAGGAGGATGGGGTAACATGGTGGATAAGAGCATGGGATCTGGAGCAGAACTGAATCCGGAATCTGCCACCGCCCGCTGTTTGCCAGGGCGGGTTACTTTGCCTCTCTTTGCTTTGATCTCCCCAACACAGTGCCTACCTCGCAGTGTGGCAGTGAAGACTCAGGGCTAGTGCACAGAAACTCTCTGAACTGTGTCTGCACTTGGGATGGACTCCGTACACTTCAGCTGTTGGTATTATTACAATTATCATAATTATTATAATTTTTTGGCCTCGCTGCACGGCTTGCGGGATCTCAGTTCCCTGACCAGGGATTGAACCCGGGCGGTGGCAGTGAAAGTGCCAAATCCTAACCACTATAGACCACCAGGGAACTCCTGGTATTATTATTTTGGAGGGCAATTTGGTTGATATCAAGATTACAAATGTTTCTGCCCTTTAACCCAGCAATCTGGCTTCTGGGAATTTATCCTACGGATGCAGAAGCATCCGCACAAAAGTTTGCACATACAAGGTTATTCACTGCAGCTCTGTTTACAAAAGAAAAAGACCCCAAATAATCTAAATGTCCATTAATGGGAGCTGGTTAAATTATGGCCAACCCATAGAATGGAATACTGGGCAGCAAGAAAAAAAAAACAGGGAAGTTTTGATATACTAACATGTTGTAATCTTCAAGAAATGAGGTACAGAAGGGTATGTAAACATCTACCATTTTTGTCAAAAGTTGGGGAAAGCATAGGTATACATTTGCTTGTATATGCACAAAAATCTCTCAGGAAGGATAAACAAGAAACTGATAATACTAATTGCCCCAAAGGAGGGGGTTGGGTGCCTGGGGGACAGTCTCCCATAAGGGAGACTTTTTGCTGTTAACCATTTTGCACTTCTTAAATGTTGAATTGTATGACCATGTTACCTATTCAAAAATATTTCAGAAATGGATTTGAAAGGAACCTTGAAAAGGTAAATACCAAGTGCAAAGACTAAGAAATACGTAGCCAAAGCTTTAAAACGAAGCATTCCCTTTGACCCAGAAATGTTTAATGAGGAACTAACCCCAAAGAAAATCATTTAAGATGTGCCATGGGTAAGAGTTTAGAGGGCATCCATGGCAATGTGGTCTTCAACACAAGAGACCCTGAAAGCCACCTGAGGTGTCCAAAAACTGGGACTGGGTGACTAAAGTGTGCTAACCCCTCCAATGGAACATTCAGTGGTCACTAAAGGTGCTGTGGCATTTGTTGGAGAGGAAAGCTAGTCCTGATGTTGGGTGAAAAATACAGGTTATAAAATAGAATCTATGGTTTGATTCCATGTTTGCACTTCATATACACACACATGCAGAAAACTGGAAATGTAAGCAAAAAATATTCACAGTAGTTACCTCCTAGTATTAAGAATCTTAAGGGGGAATTCTGTGGTGTTCTTTTAGCATATGTGTACACCAAACGTGCACCCTGGACAGGCACTCACGTGTGATGAAAATGACACAAGAACAAGGAGGAAGAGAAAGAGTTACAGGAAGGTCTCCTGGGGGGTCCCTCAGTCCTCACCTTGCTCTGGGGATCAGGTTAGAAAGATGTGCACTGTGATGATGCCTGCGGCCCCTTAGCCCAGGCCTGGGGTCACCTGCAGCAAGGCAGCTAGGAGAGTGGCCAGTCTGAGATGTAGAGGGAGTTCTTTTCTAGGGACGGGGGCCTCAGAGGTCCAGGCGGTACACCTGTCCAGGGCTTACCTTGAAGATGGTGTTATCTCCATCCTGGCTGGGGCCGTGCCGCGTGGCATGGCGCCAGGGGATGTAGAAGCATTTCTTTTCCCCATTGACCCACTGAAGCCCCGGGTACCGGCAGCTATTCACCTGGGCCACCAGCCAGGGCTTCAGCCGTACGCGGCGGGGCGGAGGAAGGGCAGCGGGGGCAGGCTGGTTCATGGCAAAGGCGTCTGCCGGAGAGAGCAGAGGGGGAGCACATCAGCACGTCAGCTGGCTGTTCCCTGCAGCAGGGGGGCGTGTGGGCGCTCGTGAGGGGGGCGCAGAGGCACGGGCCGGGCCGTTGGGGCTTTGCCTTCCTCCAGCACGGGCGGCTGGAGTCACTGCCGTCCATCCAGGTGCTCAAGTCAGTTCTCCTCTCCAGCCATCAGCTTTCCTGTCACAGGGTCCCTGCCTGTGGGCTTTGTGTTTGGGGGGAAGGAAGGAGTGGGTGTACAGCTCTAGTGGATGCTGTGGGTGCCCCACCAGGACGCCCCGTGCCAGGCAGGGCATCAATTGCCCTGCTGCTATGAGGCCGGCACAGCACAGAGCCACCCTCGCTGCCTCGCTCCCGGGCCGGGCCCACCCCTCCACTCTGGGGGGACAGCCCACAGCCAGTGGGTGACTGACACACGGGGACAGAAGGCTGGTCCCCTGGCTTCAGGTGGAGCAAATGTGTGCTCCAGGCTCCTCAAGGACTCGGACTGAAGCCAGTCTGCAGCTGAGGTCACATCCTTGCTTAGCTTTCTTCCTGCCCCACCCCTGCTCCCTCCCTCTCCTCCAGAGAACCCCTCACCCAACCACCTTCTAGGAAACCCGGCTAAGACAAGGGTAGAACCTGTGAGCCAGGATCAGAGACAGAAAGGACCAAGCCATCATAGACCCCCGTCCTGAGGTCCTGAGACTCAGAGGGGACTCTGTCGCTGGTCAAGGAAGGAACAAAGGGCCGAGCCACGATGAGAAATCAGGCTGCCTCCTGCCCGGGGCTCTAGTTGCTGAGCACATGTGACTTAGGTGGGTGTGCAAGCGTGTGTGTAAGAGGGCACACACTGCCCCGGCACCATGCTCCTCTCCCACTTCCTTGGTACCACTGTCCCTCGCAGAAGATGCTGCACAAGTAACGGAGAGGGAGTGGTAGCGATGAGGGTGGGGTGGGCCAGGGTCTTTTCCAGAGGCCGTTCTTCCTGGAACGAGGGCGCCCACACTTGCCCCCGGCACTCACATGCCCCTCTCCAGAGTGCCACGGGCGGCCCTGAACTCTTCTCCGTTGACATGAGTGGTTTGGGGCTCTTGCTCAGCCTTGCACTGCCTCTTCCCCATCTCGTTCAGCTTCCAGGTGGGGGGGCAAAACCTCTCCGAGGGCAGGAGTGCCTCCTGCTCTTCTTCCTCACCGCTCGCCCCCCTCCCGGACACCCGGCCACTCAGTGGACCAAAATAGGACTTAGGAAATACCAACCGGATGTCGGAAGCATCTGTCCTCCAGCTGTTTATTCCCCCCACCGCCGCCCCACAACCAGCCCTGCTCTCCCCAGGATCCTCCTCTGACTCAAGGGTGAGACCAGACCCAAGAGGAAGGCTGCAGGGGCTGTGATGCAGGTGAGGGTCTCAGGGAGGCAGGCCTGTCAGGGAAGGAATGACTGAAGGAAATGGGATATCTGGGTAGGTGAAGTGAACACTCAGTGGGGTGGGAATGAGAGGTACCACCATGTGACAAAGACTAGGGCTGAAGTCAACACCCGGACGGCCTCACCTGAGACAGACTAGACCCAGGTTGAAGAACTTTCTAACAGCTAAAGCCACCCAACCACAGGCAGGACTGCTGCTGGGAGCAACGGCTTCTGGGAGTACACAAGCCCTGGCAGCCTTCCTGGCCTGCACTGGGACACACACACACACACACACACACACACACACACCATCCTCCCAGGCCTGCTTTGGAAGTTCCCCTGAAATTCCCTGCCCCAGTACCTTGTTGGGTTGTGGCAGCTAAGTGCCACCTCCACGTCACTAAGGAGTCTCATCTGCAGGCCTCTCCTGAGCAGTGCCCAGCGCTGGGCCAGGACAAGGAAGGTAGGAGAGCGTCCAGCCCTGCCCCCAGGCTTCAGAAGATGGGTGGCTCGGTTCCCTTTTCTGCACTAGCCTCCACCCAGCCCCAAGGGAAATGAAAGTGGCCAGACCGGACAACTCGGAAACCTGACTCACTGTGAGCTGGGGGAGGGAAGGGGTGTGGAGAGAATCACATTTGGGTCCCCCAGACCAAACTCTCAATCTCTCACCTTGTAGCCCATCCCCCAACCCCCAAGCCCGCTGGCAGTCATTGTACATTGTGTGGTTCACAGCACTGGAGAGCCTCACCCAATATGTATTTGTAGCATCCCCACCCTCCCAAAGGCCTGGGTCCTAGAATAGAAGGGTGGCAGTCACCAGTAGCAGGCCATTCTGGCTAAGAGAAGGTGGACAGAGGAAAGCTCTGTTGACACAGAGGACAAGGCAAGCTTTCCTGATGACCCACACACATGGTCAGCCCGCAGCTGTGCCAAAGGTGGTGGTGCAGCTGGGAGGCCAGAAACGTCGAGTCCTCTGCCCAGGGCAAGGAGGAAATCAGGGCGAGGAACACTACCTGGCCTGGGCCAACACTGCTTTTCAACACAAAGGTCTTGAAATTATAACACTGACCTCTTGACAGTAAGGTGCAACCCCTTCAAGCAGTACAGGGAGGGCCTATGGAGAGAGCCTCCCATGACAAGCCTGACCAGGGCCAAGAGAGGGTCTGTCCAGCATACCACAGAAGGGTCTTCAGCCACAGGGGGTTTGCCTGCCTCCAGGTACACCAGGACCAGGCTCAGCATCAACTCCCCAAGGTGGCTTCCTCCCACCGGGAGACAGGCTTGGATCTGATTCAGACTATCCCAATGCCAGGAGTTCCGAATTTCGGTGCCTTTGTGCTCCATCCCTACTTTCCCTCCACTTAGAAGCAGCCGCCCAGACTCCCAGGGTGTCCCAGAAGCTATAGCACAGCCCTGAGAAATTCCATCCTACACCCCCTACCTGCTGCTGGGAGGAGGACTTGATTTCCCATCAGAGGGCAGGCTAGTCAGGGGGTCTGCCCTGATCCTTGACAGCTGAGCCGGTCTGCAGCCCTCAGACCTAGCCTTGTGGATTTGAGCACCGGAGGAGCGGAAAGGCGGAAGTGCATGCATCAGCTTCCATGGGAACATTAAAGGAGGTGTGGCCTACAGATGACCCGAGGAAGCCCCCAGAGGTGAAGGGGCAGCCCAGGAGCTCCTCCTGAGGGGGCGAGGCCCCACATCTCCTGAAGTCCCAGGAGCCAGCCACCAGAGGAGCCTGGAACATTGTGGGCACCAGGGACCCCCTAGGGGAGGAAGCTCCGCAGCCCCCAATAGTGGGCAGATCAGAAAGCCCTTGCACCTCCCGAGTTTATCTGATTCAGACGTCTCCCCACAAACTCCACACCAAGCTCCTGGAGAAGGCAAGGGGTTCCCTGCCCCGGCAAGACCTTAAGCCCCGCCCTCTCATGGTGAGTTGACCACACCCTGAGAATAGCTGAGGTTCTGGGGCAGCTGATGCGGCGAAAGAAGCCTCTCTCGGCTTCATTTGAGGGGCACGGTGGGGTAAGGCCAAGGCGCAGGGGGAAAACCCCAAGATGGGGCCTTTAGGTAAAAAAAGGGTGGTTTCCCATGGCTTCTCTTGACTTGCTGGAAGCCCCAGCGCCCTAGCGCGACAGCTCTGCTCTGGCCCAGCTGCCCCTCCCGAGGGGCTCTAGCTTCCTGCATCGGCCCCGCCCTCGTCCTTACTGGTCCTGGTCACTCGTCCCAGCTCTGGGCGCTCGTGGAACCCAGGCCCTGCCCTGCCCTCTGGACCGCCCCCGCAGGTGCTCCCCGGGTGGCTTGCCCGCGCCTCCTGGGCCAGCCCACGGAACCACCACCCCCCTACCCCGCCCCGGGCGCTGGCTTAGGGGTCTGCCTCTCGGACCGCTTCTCCGGCTGGTGGCGCCCCCGCCCTCGTCCCCGCTCTGATGTGCCCAGGGTGGCGGCGTGGGCGGGAAAGTCCCCCTCGCCCCTGATCCCGAGTGCCGGATCCGGCGGCTCTGGGGTCGCGGAGACAACCCCAGCGCAGGTGTTCACCATCTCCTGTCCTGCATCACGGTCAGGCTGGTCTCACTTTCCCTCCACTTTTAGACTCTTAATTGTTTCGTTTCTAAGTTCGGGGGAACTAGTCTAAGAAGCATCGCGCCCGTGGTTCCTCTCTGTTAGAGGAGGGTCAGCGCCGTCTTTTCTCTGCCACGAGTCGAAGGACGGCCGGCGCCTCTGCCTGACACCATCTTACTACACACTCTCTGCCCGAATTCTTGCCATTGGCCTTAAGATCCAGGGAGGATGAACATTTTTAAACCTCATTCTCTTACTCGAAAGGATGAGAGGTGCCAGGGGAAGAGGGATTGGAGTGCACAGAAAGGGGGAATCGGGGCTTGCCCCTCCCACGGCCCAGGCCGGGCGCCCGGGCGCTGCCCATCCTTGGCGGTGGCGAGACTAAGGGAGAGAAGCAGCAGAGCTGGCGCCCCTGGCAGCAGTGCCTACTCCGCCGCCCGCGCCTCCGGGCTCCCCGGGCGCCTTCGGGACGAAGGCTGCTGGTGCGGGGCACCCCACGCTAATCAGGACGTAGGAGGCATCTCGGAGGCCGCCAGAACGGCGGGGCGCGCCCTGCCTTACGCG